CACCCGGCCTATAATTTTTTTAAATTAGTAGAGATGGGGTTTTGCGATGTTGCCTAGGCTGGTCTCAAACTTCTGAACTCAAGCAATCTGCCTGCCTCGGCCTCCCAAAGTGCTGGGATTACAGGTGTGAGGAATCACACCCAGCCACAAAGCACTTTCACATTTTTTTATTTTATGTGACCTTTACACAATCACTGGGAGTCAGGGCTAGGATTATCCCCTCATAAAGGTGAGGACACAGGCTCAGAGAGTCAAAGGCTGAATAGACAAGGGGAGAGACACAGAGCTCCACTGATAATCACTGGACTCTGGATTCCACCAAGCCTTTGGAACCTTCCAGCCTCAGGCCTCCACAGCTTCACAGAAACTGGGCAAGTCTTAACTCTCTAAGCTTCTGTCTTCTCACCTAAGCATGTTTAGTACTCACCTCCCAGGGTGGTTAGGAGGATAATGAGGGAATGTCTTGGCCTACACATAAGTGCACCATCAATGGTACCTAAAAACGTCAACAGTTCCACACACTGTCTCCAAAGAAGGCTCTGGGGGGGATGCAGACATGTAGCGGACAGGTTCTTGTTCTCCAGGGGCTTTGCAGGTCCCTTGCAGAGGCAGGGTTCAATCCTGCCAGCTGTGGCAGGACACTTTCCTGTCCAAGGGATTGGCTTCCGCTGATGTAGGATAGACGCTATGAAATAGCTACCAACCCAGGGCTTGCCACGAAGCCCCATGAAGGTTTTGCACTAATAATATGCCTTTCTTTCTTTTTCTTCTGAGACGGATTCTTACTCTGTCACCCAGGCTGGAGTGCAGTGGCACGATCTCAGCTCACTGCAACCTCTGCCTCCCGGGCTCAAGCGATTCTCCTGCCTCAGCCTCCCAAGTAGCTGGGACTACAGGCGTGCGCCACTATGCCCAGCTAATTTTTGTGTTTTGAGTAGAGATGGGGTTTCACCATGTTGGCCGGATGGTCTCGATCCCCTGACCTCGTGATGTAACTAGTATTTCTTATGCCCTTATTTTGTGCCGGGCACAGGGCCTCACCCATTATTGGCACTCAGTAAGGATTCGTGGGATTAATGAAAAGTTAACCTGAATCTTCAACAAAGGCCTCAGTAAGGATTCGTGGGATTAATGAAAAGTTAACCTGAATCTTCAACAAAGGCCCCAGAGCTTCCCTGGAAGGGACTGGGGCTCCGAGAGGTGGACTGTGATGCGCCCCTGGAAGACCTACGAGTGGGCCTGCAGAGCTGATGGGGAGGGTTCAGGCAGGGCCAGGGACTTAGAGGAGCTGAGATTAACGTCGCCCCCTACCCACTGACCCTCTCCAGGCGCTGGGGCTGTGGAGACCCGGAGTCGCCACAGCTCCTACCCCGCGGGGACGGAGGAGGACGAAGGGATGGAGGAGGAGCCCAGCCCCTTTCGGGGCCGCTCGCGCTCCGCGCCCCCCAACCTCTGGGCAGCACAGCGTTATGGCCGCGAGCTCCGGAGGATGAGTGACGAGTTTGTGGACTCCTTTAAGGTGAGCGCCGGTCCCCCGCGTGCCAGGACCTGCAGTCCCAGGCCGCCCCGCGCCGGTCTGTCCCTTCCTTGTCCCAAGGCACGTCCGGATCTGATGTCCCACGATCCCTCCCCACCGCCGTCCTGCCCCTTCCATAATGCTCCATAGCATTGTGGGATTTGTAGTCACAAGACCGCCCCCTAAACCCCCGCCCCGCCAGCTCTTCCCTTCCAAGTCCCAGAATTTCCCCCTCCTGGTGGTTGGATGTGGGGGGGTGTGTGTCACAGGGCATGCTGGGACGTGTAGTCTAGCTCCCACTCCAGGCCAAAGCTCTTGGATTCCCCGAATTCTTGGAAGACTAGGCATGCTGGTATTTGTGCTCCTTGCTGGCACCTGTGCGCTCTGTCGCCCAGGCTGGAGTGCAGTGGTGCGATGACGCCTCATCGCATCCTGGAACTCCTGGCCTCAAAGGATCCTCCCTCCTCAACCTCCCAAAGTGCTGGGATTACAGGCGCTCACCACCACTCCCGGCCTTTTGATTCTTGAATTGCTGTCCCATCTTCTGGGTGCTAGGTCTCCAGCTCTGGCCTTTCCATTTAGGGCCCTAGGCATCCTCTCTTCCCGTCCCCGGCACGGAGTTCCTGGGATCTAACCAGTTCCCATTCCTGGGGGCCCATGCGTCCTCCCGAGCGTCCCTGACCACCCGGCGTGGAGCCTCCTGGGAGTTGTGGCCTTCATTATCTCCCCCCGATCTCACTTAGAGGAAGGCTCACGGAAGTGGAGAGCCTGGCACCAGCTGCCATGGTAATCTAACTCATGTAACCCTTTTCTCCCACAACCCGGAAGGGACTTCCTCGCCCGAAGAGCGCGGGCACAGCGACGCAGATGCGGCAAAGCTCCAGCTGGACGCGAGTCTTCCAGTCCTGGTGGGATCGGAACTTGGGCAGGGGAAGCTCCGCCCCCTCCCAGTGACCTTCGCTCCACGCCCCGAAACTCCACCCGCTCTCACCGTCCTGGTCGGCCATCTTGGATATGGGCGGAAGTGCTTCCCTCAGGCCTCATGCAAAAGAGGATCCGTGCTGCCTCTTTCGGTGGGAGGGCTGACCCAGATTCCCTTCCGGTGCATGTGAAGCCGCAGAAGGCTTGGTCCCATCGGAAGTTTTGGGTTTTCCGCCCATAGCCGCCAGAAGTGGCTCGTGGCCCCGCCCTCCGGCTCCGGGCTACCCACCAAGTGCCTGCGCCAAGTCGTGAACCAGGCTTAACCGTTGCGTCGCCCGGACCCGAGTCCCCGCGATGTCCCGCGGGCCGCGCTCACTACTAAATGTTAATAAAGCCCGCGTCTGTGCCGCCGAGCCTTTTCTGTGCGTCGACTGGGGCTCCGCAGGCCGGGTAGTGCTCTCACGGATACTTTCAAAAGAGGCCGCTGTCTTACGAGGGATATAGGCTTTGCCTGACATCCGCGACAGAGACGGAAGGGGTCGCGGCGGCTCGCGGGCCAGGGCTGTGAGGCCCAGGTCCAAGTCCCCAGCACGCGCATTGGGACCGCAGCGCTGCCGGCCGCCGAATCTCGCGCTTTGTAAACCGCGCCGCGGCCCCCCAGGGAGGGTCACTCGCTCCTATTTGGGTCAGCCCTTATAGGACTGACCTAGCTGGGTCAGCTGCTGTATGGCCGGCCCGGGGGCCTGGCAGACCGCGCGGGACGGAAGGGAGCGGCGGAGCCAGGCTGGCAGCAGCCCGGTCGCTGGAAACCGAGGCTTCACGCAGGGACCCGAACAGAGCGGGGGCTCCGTTCCAGAAAGATTTATTGGCGCCCCCTGTAACCCGGCCCGGTGCTTCGTGCTGGGCACAGAGATCCGTTGCGCGACGGCCCTGCTCTCGGAAGCTCCCGAGGGCCCGAAGTCGGCAGGGCAGTCAGAGGGCTTCAGGGAGGAGGCGGCTAGAGCCGCTACCTGAAGGTGAGGGTGAGGGGCATCCCTCCCGGCGCAGGGAGGAGTGGACCCATGGAAGGACAGGGGAGCAGTAGAGGCCAGGCTTCCCAGGGGCTGGAATGTCACACCCAGGAGTTAGCAATTTAGCTGGTGTCCCTCAGTGGACACCAGCTAGAGTCAGGAAGATGGGAGTTGGCTGCTGAGGAGCCTGGATACGGAATACACTGGAGTGAGCAGAACTAGGGGATAGGGCAGGGCCCCACAGCAGAAGTGAGGAAGTCTGGGGCCACTGCACTGACCCTGAGGGAGGAGGGCCCTACTCCGGAGCCTATTTCCCTGGCCTCCCCACCCCATCTGTTTGCCTGAGGCTGCAGCAAAAACAAAGCAAAGAAGATACTCAACTGGCAGGAGATAAGCCCAGATAAGAGGCCTCCTTCCCCTGGAGGAGGGATGCAGGCGGGCAGCCTAGGAAGAGCCAGGAAGCTGGGAGAGGCCTTGAAGAGGTGCCAAGCCGACCCTGCTGCGAGCCCAGCCCCGCCCTCGAGCCCGCACTGTGGGCTCTCCGCCACTTTTCGCTGGTCTTGAGGCATAGGACAGGTCCAGGCTGGCTGAAGACAGTCCACCACGGAGGGTCCAGGCCTGCCCTGCCTCCAGGTCAGGACATCTTGATTTAGCTGTGGCCTGGCACATGAGAGATGGCTCCGGGCCTCAGTCTCCTCATCTGTAAAACAGGCATAGTATCTCCCTCACAGGGATGAGGGTATGCTGGGTGGCCCAGCCCCTGCGTGTCTGTGACTGTCCACTTCCCTTCCCCCAGGGTCACAGGCAGGCCTACTGCCCACCTCTCTCTGAAGACCCCCGTCCCCTGGTGTTGGACAGGTTCTGAGCTGCCCTGCTCCACCCTGGCTGATCCATCACCCGATAGAGTCAACTGCCTGTCGGGGGCCCAGAGCAGCCCGGGCGGAAGATGCTAGGCGTTTGGGTCATATCAGGCCACAGGAAGCGGGGCAGGGAAGGCTTCCTGAAGCAGAGGCCTGAGCCTCAGCGAAGAGAGAACAGGGAGAGCCTCGGAGAGATGAAAGTCGTGGGGATGGAGGAACAGGAACAGGGAAGCTCAGCAGACTCGGCAGGGCAGGCTCAGGTTCAACCCAGCAGTCCTTGGCTGGAGGCGTGCCCTCAACCCCACCAAACGCCCAAAGCCCATTTTACAGATGAGGAAACGTACAGAGTCCTCTCACCCCAAATCACACTGCACACAGGGTCCCTGAAATCCACTTTTATTCATGTAAAAAAAATCCCCAAAGAATAGAGAAAAAATGTGACACCTACTTCCTGAAGCTCCAGCAGCTCTCCCAGGGAAGGGAGGAGACACTGCTACCTCGAGGGTGTGGGTGTCACGGGGAGCAAAGCCCTGACCAGGGCCCTAACCTAAGACTGAGGGCAGGAAGGAGGGGCCCCAGGAGGATGAAGGGAGTTAGCTCAGGTACTTGCCCCAGGTTTAAAAAAATAAAATTTCTAGATAAAAAGTTAAAAAAAAAAAAGCATTAGTGTCGTTGCCTCCTGCCCTCCACCCAGCGCCCACCCTGGCCCTGTGGCCACCTCTTGCTCAGCCAGTTCAGAGCTGCGTGTTCTCCTCCTGGCTCTCCGAGTCAGCGCCCGACAGGTGCCCGCTGCTCCCAGGTGCGTGACCGTTGCTGGCACAGGCCACCAGAAGCCCATCCCCCAGCCCCTCCGGCATCTCGCCCAGCAGGCTCCTGCGGATCTCCTGGGGGAGCCTCGCCCGCTGCTCCTGACACTCCTGGGCCAGCTGGGCCAGCAGCTGTGGGAGGAGGACGGGCATCACAGGCGAGGCCTGGCTGCCTTGCACCCCATCTGCCCGCCTGTTCGCCCATGGCCTCACCTTGGGCTCCTCTTCTGCCAGCTGTTGCAGGACCTGCTGCTGCCCAGCCACAAGACGGTCATGCCGCTGCTTCTGGGCCTCCTCCAGCTACAGGGGTGGGCAAGGGCTCAGCTGAGGGGCCCTGAGGGGCTAAGGCCTCGAGGCTCTGGCTGGGTATAGAAGTCAGGTGGGCGAGGCCAGGCGCAGTGGCTCACACCTGTAATCCCAGCACTTTGGGAGGCCGAGGTGGGCAGATCACCTGAGGTCAGGAGTTCCAGACCAGCCTGACCAACATGGTGAAACCCTGTCTCTACTAAAAATACAAAAATTAGCCAGGCGTACTGGCGGACGCCTGTAATCCCAGCTACTTGGGAGGCTGAGGCAAGAGAATTGCTTGAACCCAAGAGGCAGAGGTTGCAGTGAGCCAAGATCGCACCACTGCACTCCAGACTGGGTGACAAAGTAAGACTCTGTCTCAAAGAAAAATAAAGGAAGTCAGGTGGGTGAAGGCTCCCAGGGTGATGTATCAGGTTTGTGAAAGGACCGGGCCCAAGGACACCAAAGCCAGGGGCACTGGTGCAGACAGTTGGCTTTGGGTATGATGCGGGTACCCTGGAGCTGTTGGGCACTCGAGAAAGGCTCTAGAAGAACTTTGAGGGCAACGTGGCACCAGGCTAGGCACGGAGAAGGGTGTCTGATGAGTGAAGGAAGGGACGTGGGGTAGGGTGACCCAGGAGCCCAACTCACCCGACGGATGGAGTTGACTGACTCAGTGATGTGCCGACGGTTAATCTCCGTCAGTTCCCTGCACAGGAGCAATGCAGGATGGCTCGGGGCCCAGACACCCGCCCTGCCTCCCCAGTACCCAGGTGGCCCCCGGCCCCGGTGCCCTTACGCCTCCTTCTTATGCTTGTCCCTCGTCTTGGCCTCCGAGATGCTGTTATGGCGCTTTCTGTCCAGGATCTTCTGCAGTTCCTTCTTCTCCCTTGAGAAGCCAGCAGGGAAAAAGGAGGGGTCAGCGGCAGAAGCACAGACTCTGCCTTCCTTCTGTATTAGAAGTCCCCAGCCCTTCCCATAGACCATCCTAGGCCTTCACCTCTCATTCATCTCTTTCAGCCTCTTGAACTGAGTTGTGTTTGCATCAAGGACGACCTCCCTGAGCCGCTGCAGAGCCTATGGACACAGGGAGCCGACAGGTGATGCCGGGTTGATGACCAGTCTATCCAGGAGGCTTTCCCTGGCCACTGCAGGCTTCCTACCTGTCTCAGATGCTCCAGCCTCCGCTGGGCCTCTGCGTCCACCTGGGCCTCCCGCAGCTCCAGCAGGCTCTGCACCTGTCTGTTCTGGAACTCCTGATACCGCTTTGCCTCGTCCTCCCCCTCCTTCGTGTCCTCCACATCAGCGGCCCCGCCTCTGCGAGGAGAACCCCTCTGGGTGATGCTTGGGTCCGTCACATGAACTGGGATGGGGAGGGTGTGTGGGGGGGCACACCCTGGCAAGCGATGGCAGACACCACCCCATGGGGCCAGGTCTGTTATGCAAACCAGGAGGCCTGTTAGCTCCACACAAGTGATGGGAGCCTGTTTGGGCAACACGCTCCTCATGGACTTCAAAAGAGATGTCACTCCCTGGGGGACACGGAGGTGCCTGGTGTGGAAAGCCTCCTCCATCCTTGCACCCGAACCCTCCTCCCTGGGGGTCAAGGAGCGACTCTTGCCATCTCTCCATGCCCACCGACCCCCATGTTCACTTCAGTGCACCCAGCACACATAGCACACAGGCGGCCCAGACACTCACAGGGCACCTGGCCGCAGCCGGCACCTGCCCTCAGCCTGTGCCTGAGCCAGGCCATCCAGCAGGCGGCGGGTGAGGGTGACTGCCTTCCGCTGATGCTTCTTGCGCAGCTCCCGCAGGTCTCGCTCTTGCCGGCTCTGGAGCTTGACCAGAGCCTTGTGACCTCGGAGCTCATCCAGCGGGGTGGGGGCCACCTCTGGGAGTGGCAGAGGAAAGGTAGGCGGGGGGTGGGGGAAACTGCAAGGCAGCCCCCCAGCCTCCAGGTACCCCGCCCCCTACCTGAGAGGATGCTGGCGATGAGATCGTCGCGCTGCCCTAGGGAGCAGAGGCCCTGTGAGGAGCTGAAGGACAGGGTGGTGGGGCACCTCCCTGCAGCCCACCCCTGACCCGAGCTGCTCCTTACCTGGGCTGCTGAGGGAGGTGCTGGTAGGGGAGGTGGTGGGGCCGGGGGGCCGGCGGGGGGAGGCATCCAGTGGGCTAGGGGTGGGGTTTGGGGACAGCTGAGACCCCAGCTGCTGAGACTGGGTGTCCTGGCACATCTCTTGGCCAGCCTGAGCCTATAGGGAGAAAGGAGAATGCTCTTTCCAGAAATGCTGTTCCCTCCAGACCCTTCTGTCCTCTACCACTTCCCGGGGCCCCTAGCACCCCTGTCAGCTTCCCTTAGTCCAAGCCACTGCTGAGCTGCTCTGTAACAGGAGGCTGTCTGCATGAAAAGAGCTATAAATCAAGCCTTTCTAAACCCCTTTTCCACATGGGCTGTGGGGAAGATAACATAATGCCAGCCCACTGCATGCGCTCAGGAACACCCAGATTGTTCTGGAAAGGCCTGGCCCAGCCCCAAGCCTCCTCTCCTCCCCTGCCTATGTCCCCCAGCCTTGCCTACAGTCGCTCATTTTCCTTGCTGCTCAGCTCCTGATTAAATCAACAGAGGACTCCACCAGCCGCAGAGTGGGCACCAGCCTCTCCACTAACAGCTCCGGGCAGCCCTAATTGCAGTCATCTCTCCCTGCCTGCCTGCCACAGGCCCCGGGGGGACTGGGTCTGGAAGCACAGGTGAACCTCTGAGCCTGACCCCTCCCCACGGAAGCCACTGCCCTCCTCATGGCTCCCAGGACACCACATATGAACAGCTTCTGTGGCTTCGCACTGCCCTGACAAAGTGAGTGGGACCCCTGTACCCCCACTCGGAGCCTGTATAGGCTGGAGGAATTCCAGCCCAGGTCTGACCTGAAGGCATCCTGAATGCAAATGGGTGGTTTTCATCTCCTCAAAATCCCAGGGCTGCCAAGCCTATTGCACTAGAGAGACCAGAAGCCTCCTCCTCACGTGGCCACAGCAGTCGTGTCCAGCGGCCCCCTGGGTCACAGTGAGCCTGAGCCCTGCCCTGCCCCGGCTCACCTCACTCTCCCCAATGAGGGCGGCCAGCTGCCGGGCCCTCTGGTCCATCAGGCTGACGTGCTTAATGGGGTTGATCAGGGCCTCCGCGTAGTCTGCGGGGAGGCAGAAGGCCAGGGTCTCAGAGACAGAGCCCCCAGGCCACCCCCACCCGCCAGCTCTGGTCACAATGAGGAATTCCAGAGCTTGTCCTTGGATCTGTGGATCTGTTCCCCACTCAGTCGGGGCCATCCAGCTCGGCAACTCCCAGACCCTGGGGATGGCCCTTGTCCCTCACACTCCCTGGCCAGGCCGGCCCTGCCCACCCCCAGCTCACCCTGGTGGTCATCAGGAATGTAGTCCGAGGCTTCAGTGTAGATGAGCAGGGCCGGAAGGCACAGCGGCTGGTTGGCCTCGTTCCGCAGGCAGACGTAGTGGTACCCTGGGTGGGCAGGAAGGCAAGGTTGGGTTGCTAGGCCAGGCGGGGGCCCTACCCACTGCCCGCTGTGCTTCCCAGAGCCCACCAAGGCCTCACCAGAGCGGATGGCAGAGACAGGCAGGATCCGGTGCCCTACAAATTTACCCCCCTCCTCAAAGGCTGCGATGCGAAGTGAAGCCAACGTAGGCAGCACCACCTGTGGGCCAGACTGGAGCTGAGTCACGGGGCTGACCCTGAGCCACCGTGGCTACCAGGCCACAGCTAACCACAGCCATCAAAGCCTAACAGAGCAGACCTTCAGACAAGCTGGCCTACTGACCATCAGTCACCATTGCCACTAAGTTGATGGCTGACCCCAACTCCATGGCCTGGCCTAATGGATGACTATAGCCATCAGGACCCTGAGGCAAGATGACAGGCAGCCAGGCCCCTTCAGGGCCCCCACAGACAGTTCTGGTCATCACCAGTTTAGAAACGCGAGTGAGTCATGAGCAGGAAACCAAGAACGCATGCGCCTAGGTTGGGAGCAGAGGCCGCGTCCATGCAGGGCCGTGCAGGGTGCGGAAGAGCGGATATGAGCTTGGGGTTGTGACCTCAGCTCCTGCCTCGGAGATGGGGCAGGCTGCGTTCACTCCTCGCAGAGGATACAAGATCTCTAGCTGACACCCCCCAACCCCATCTCACCTTCTCACCCTGGTGTCTTACCCTGAGGAGGGCAGGGAGCCTGACGCTCGGACAGGCAGGTCCTGGGGGACCCATGGTGCCCCCCGCTTTCTGATCCCCAGTCGCCAACAGTGTGCTTGGTTTTTGTTCTCCCACCCGAGAACCGGGGCGGTCTGTGCTGGATCTGCCCTGTGCCTGAGCAGGTGCGGGGGCCAGGCTCACCTTGGGGAAGTCGAAGGGCTCCTCATCCCACACGGGGTTGAACGAGTTCCCCTGAGAGGTCCGGGTGCGGTACTTGCGCCGCGTGTCAACAGGGAGGCCAAACATGTCCACCTCCACATAGATGCCCACCTTCCTGTCGGATAGGAACTGCCCCGAGATCACCTGGGGGGTGGGCCAAGGAAGGTGAGGCAGATGCTGAGAGTCCTGCCCCCAGGACATCCCTGGCCTGAGCACCCCCAGGCCCCACCTTGACCCGCAAGGCATTGGCCACAATGCCATCCACGATGACCTCAGTGAAGGGGTCGAAGGATTTGTCAGGCCGCCGCATGAACTCCGGCTTGAGCAGGTACCCGCTGCGCCCGTTGTACTCAAAAACGCCCGCATTGAGCTGCATCGCCACATCTGGGGTGCCATGGGCCAGTTGAGCAGGGCCAGGGATCAGGCAGGACGGTGCCATGTGGGGAACGGGAGACCATCAGGTCAGATGGCATCCAAGGTCCAGGGCCAGGGGTGGGCTCAAATGGCATCAGGGTCCGGATCCAGGACAGATCAGACAGGGGAGGGGTCTGGCATCAGCCAAGGGCAGGAGGCGGGTGAGTCGGGGGCTGGGTTCCCCTGGGATCTGGGATTAGACAGGGTCAGAGGTCTGTTCAGGCAAGACCAGCAGGATCATGGGTCAGAAGTCAGTAAGACTGAGGGTCGGGATCAAGATGGAGGGGGCCAGGGCTCACCGAGGGTCTGGAAGTTGAGCGCAACAAGCTGGCACCCTACGTTCCAGAAGAGCTGGGGCATGTAGTTGGAGGAGTCCACGCGGGTGCCCTTGGGGTAGATGCGGCTGAGCTGCTGCTTGTTGTATCTGAGGTTGGTGGTCAGGGGCCACACAGGTGCCAAGGCCCACCCCATCAGCCTTCACCTCCGGCCTCAGCCAGGTGCTCCTGTGACTCCCACACCCAGCCTCCATTTCTCAGCCTAGCCATGCCCCCTGAGACTGCCTGGACCTGCCCCAGCCACAGGCCAGGGTGCAGGAGGGCCGCCGGAGGGCCAGCACCCTGTGCAGGTGGCACACGTGGGGACAGAACACCACAGCCAGCCTCCAAGCGCCCCACTCTGGCCTGCCCGCCCACAGCACCTTCAAAGGATACTCCACAAACTCCATGGGGCTCTTGGTCAGTTGTTCCATGGCCTTGGTCTCCACGAAGGACGACATCTCGAAGCATTTGTTCCTCTCTTGGGGTGAGCCAAGAGACGGCATCAGACCTGGCAGGGCTGAGCTGGGCAAGCTCCCATGGCTGCCACCCACCCCTACTCACTTCGAGCAGCCTCAAAGGACTTGAACTTGACAGGCTCGATGTAGTTGACAAGCGTGGACATCTCCTCAGTGGCATTCACCTCGCTGCTGGCCGTGCCCTGTGGGCCCCAACCCAGGGTCAGCAGTGCCACTCCCGCCACAGCTGGCCATTCCCTCACCTGCCCCCCATGAAGGAGGTGCTGACCCTCTTCCCACCACTATCCACGCACTGCTGGTGGTGCCAACAATCTTCTTCCCAGGGTCTCACTGATGCGCCCTGGACACCACCTGGCTCAAGCAATTTTCCTGCCTCAGCCTCCCAAGTAGCTGGGATTACAGGCGCCCACCACCTTGCCCGGCTAATTTATGTAATTTTAGTAGAGAGGGGGTTTCACCATGTTGGCCAGGCTGGTCTTGAACCTCCCGACCTCAGGTGACTCGCCCACCTCGGCCTCCCAAAGTGTTGGGATTACAGGTGTGAGCCACCTCGCCCAGCATATATAGCTGTTAAAATTATCATTACTTTTACTGAATCATTTGGGAGTAAATTACAGACATCATGACCCTCATGACCCTTTACCCATAAATACTTCAGCATATATGGACATTCTCTTATATAACTCCAATACAATAATTAAATTCAGGAAACAAAACATTGACATATTATCTAATATGTAGTTCATCTTTAAATTTCACTAATTGCCCCAGTAATTGTCTTTATAGCAATGTCTTTTTTTTTTTTTTTTTTT